TGGCCACGTCGTGGCCAGCTAAGGACAAAGTAGTCGATCATCAGAGTACCGACACGATGTGGCAAGCCCTTGGCCACGTTGTGGGATCTGGCATAATGCCAACTTCTTCATTAAGTGCTTAATCCCTATATATCTAAGCCCAAAACTTCAGATCTACTCTTTCACACTGACTTAATGGATAAACTTCCATACTTTATTACAATTATTTAATGTTTTTCTAACCTTAATTTTGAAATTTTGTTGATGATCGATGTTGAATGACTGGCATGAATTGCATCTGTTGTTGATTACCGATGATGAGAATCTAATGATTTTGGATGTATAATTAATCGAAGATACTCTTGATAAATCATAATTGAAGGTTTGACTGAAAGAACCTGTGATTGATGAATATGGATGATTGATAAATAATCAACGTTGGATGATGTTGATCGAGGGATTGGTTGAAGAAATCTGGATGATTGTTGAAGGTTGGAGAATGAATTTGAAATGTTAACTAAATATCCAAAATAAGTATTTTACCTTGAAGGTTTAATTCTTATACCATATTTACATGTTTGTAACCATCTCTTAACCTTATATATATATATATATATATATATATATATATATATATATATATATATATATATATATATATATATATATACTAGGTGTAATACCCGTGTATTACACGGGTTGATTAAAAAAAAGGATTAAATATTAAAATGTAAACATTAAGTATTTTTTAAATAGAATTTTGAAATAAGGAATGAAGAAACCTATTAATTACAATTACTATCACATTTATTACATTTAATACTTTACATATATTAATATATAAGTATTATGTGGCGTTTTAATTTAAAATTTGAAAAACCCCAGAAATTAACATATGGATATTATTTATTTCAAAAATATAATAAAATGACAAGTGTCAAAACTCATGAGAGATTGACACGTGGCAAAATGAATCTTTATTTATTATAGTTGATATATATATATATATATATATATATATATATATATATATATATATATATATATATATATATTATGTCACATGACACGTCCCAAAAAGAAGAAAGAACCACTTTGAAAACTTAAAAAGATTCAAGTTAAACATAAATTCTCCAACATAGTATTCTTAATATGGCATAATACTACAACAACCAAGACCAAATATTACCCATGATTTTCTACAATATCAATATCCACACCATAAAACTATGTTTGTAAATTTAACTACAATACATCCTTTTTTCACCCAAAAGTCTCTGGCAGGTATTGGTCTAAATGTCGCAATAAGTAAGAATCCAAAGTCGAGAAAAAAAATTGAAAGTTGGTCAAATGGTGAAGAAGAATTACTAATGAGTGCTTCGGTAACTTTTTCTACGGACCCGTTAATCGACAATGGACAACAATCAAGAAAATTTTGGTGTAGGATTACTAAATACAACAATGACTTTAGGAATTCCTTTCCTCTAATAATTTAAAAAAAGAGTGCAGGGGAATTGATATCAGATAACTCCATATGTTAATGAGTTCAATAAGATATTCATTAACATAGAAAAAAATATCAAGGTACATTTTCTTGGAGAACAAGTTTGTAATCGCACGTTCAGCGGGGCCGGTTTATCATCATTGACTTCGGCCCATGACGTTTTTGGTCCATTATTATTAGGTCAACCACACTATAAATAGTATCATTTATTGTAACCCTAATGTACTGTACGAAAAGACTTCTACGGGAGGAAATAATAAATCTTTCTCTCTCTCTCTCTCTCTCTCTCTATATATATATATATATATATATATATATATATATATATATATATATATATATATCCCTCCCTCTCTCGTGTTCGATGTGGGCGTAGCCGATCATCCTGACCGTGTGAACCACATAAATTGATTGTGTATTGTTCTTTTGATTTTGAACTTATTACTCTGGTGAGATCGTTTATCGTTTGTTGAACTATTATTTTAACCTAACAATTGGTATTAGAGCAATAACATAAAAACGGGAAGGTTAAAATCAGTAAATTTGAAGGACATGATTTCAGATTATGGAGAATGTAAATCGAAGATTATCTCTACCAAAAAAAGTTGAATCTACCACTGAAGGAAACGAAGCCTAAAGATATTGAGCAAGAGGATTGTGATTTATTGGATCGCTAGACAATTGGAGTGATAAGGCTAACATTGTCAAAGAATGTAGCTTACAATATTGTGAATGTGAAGACTACCTACAATCTCCTGAAGGTGTTGTCCAATACGTATGAAAATACCTTTCATACAAGCAAGGTTCATTTAATTTATCATTTGGTAAATCAAAAGATGAAGGAAGGTAGCTTGGTGACTGACCATGTGAACGAGTTCAATTTTGTCATATCGAGGTTGATTTTAGTTGATATTGGATTTCAGGATGAGGTCATGGCATTATTGTTGTTATCATCTTTGCCCGATAGTTGGCCTGGAACAATGACAACAGTTAGTAGTTCAACCGTAGGTGCTAAGCTGTCATTCGAAGCTATACGCGATTTAATCCTCGGTGAGGATGTGTGCAGACATAGTGTCAGAGAAACATCCAGTAGTCTTTTGAGTACAAAGGACTGATGAAAGAAAACCAACCGATGAGGCTAGGCTAGGGGAAGATCAAATTCAAGGAAGAGAGGACAGTCAAAATATAAGAAGGATATTACCTGTTAGATCTGCCATGAGAAAGGTCATTTCTGAAATCAATACCCAACGCCTTCCACAGATAAAAGCAATAAGGAAGTGAATATGGTAGAAATTCTAAAGATGATGTACTCATTTGTTGTGTTGAAAACTCAATAGGATCATAGATAATGGATTTTGGTAGATCGTTTCATGCCAGTCATTCCAAGAGTGTGATGTAGAATTTTAGGCACTACAAAGGGGTGGTTCAATTAGCATATAACAAAAGATTGGTTATCATAGGTATTGAGGATGTTTTCCTCAAGACGACTTTGGGTACAAATTGGACTTTGAAGAACGTTAAGTACATTCTAAATTTGAAGAGAATGTTGATATGGGTATGGCAGCTTGATGATGAAGGTCATCATGTTACTTTTAGTGATCATTAGTGGAAGGTGACAAATAGGAACTTGGTGATTTCTAAAGGTCAAAAATGGGGTACACTTTACATGGTGGAGGTTTCTGATTATGAAGTAAACGTAGTTGAGGAGGCAGGGGCATCCACTCTATGGAACCAATGTCTTGGACATATGAGTGAGAAGGGGATGAAGATGCTTGCATCCAAAGGGAAGATTCCAAACTTGAAGAATCTTACAACTGTTCTTGGAAAAAAGAATAAAGTTACCTTTGCAAAGATGGGTCAACCGCCCAAGGCCGGGAAGTTAGAGTTAGTGCATTCTGATGTATAAAGTCCCACCTCAGTTTCTTCAGTGGGAGGTTCCAGGTACTATGTCACTTTCATTGACGACCGTATAAATTTTTTTTTGGGTTTATTTCATGAAGAACAAATCTATGGTATTTGCTACATTCAAGAGACGGAGAGTTAATGTAGAGAATGAAACATGTATGAAGATCAAGTGTTTCAAATCAGATAATAGGGGTGAATATAACAACAAAGAATTCATTGATTATTGTGCTAAACATGCGATCAGAATGCTGAATATGGTTCCTGAAACTCCGTGGTAGAATGGTGTGGCTGATAGAATGAACTGTACATTGAACGAGAGGGCAAATAACATGAAACTCCAAGATCATTTAAGATTCATTGACATTGAATTTCATGTTAATCTTGATTGTGCTCAACTCAAATTTAATGTGGGGATGCTGCAAACCATTAAATACATGGTAAATCAACCATGCAAAACCGCTTGAACCTCAACATATAATTATTCTCATATTGACATGTCAGTTAGCCACACACACGCTCCATCAAAAGAACAATTCCATGAGTGACTCATCATTTAAAATTATATTCTCGTAAATGACGTGCCGGTTAACCACACATGATCAATCATCATAATATAACCAAAATGTGTGTTTTCATGGGAATCACACGACTCACGTTTTCAAATTATATAAAATGAGAATATTTTTTTTACCTGATTAATACTTTTAATCTTAAAAAACAAAATCCGATTGAATCCTTTCGGGAACTCCACTTTCAAAATACGAAAGTCAGTGATGGAGGTAAGCGCGAAACATATTAAAAACGAACATCATTAGCAATCAAAGAGACCTCTTTCAACCATGTATTAGAGTGGGTGAGCCTACTCTTGTTTAATAATAGGATATAGCCCATAAATACCTATATCCTTCCCAAATATACCGAACCAGCATGTTGCAAGGTCGCTCGAAGTTACCCGCCCCACACATCTCAAAGTTGCTCGTTTACATACCAAACTGGCATGACAGCTCAAAAGGAATGGAAAGAATGAAGAGAAAGTACAAAGTGGCATCGAAACAGTAGCAGCAGTACCTCGAAACTATGAGAAGACAGTCTGTACGAGGATACGTAGCTGGTGGATCCTGGCACATCCACATGACAGCTGTGTAACGGCATACACAGTAACGATAGTCGTACCTTCGAGCATAATGTTATAAATGTGATAAGATGGCATGTCAGGGTCGATATAGGAAGAACTCGCTACTTCTTCCTGTATTACTAAAAATATATAGCATGATTCGTCAAAAAGGTAAGACCACAGAAGTCTCGCTTATCTCTCTCGTGTATTCGATCGATAACATAACCTTTCACTAACTTAACTGTAGGAGCGTCATCCGGGACCCCCTCCCGGCCGGTTAGCTTACGGTTTGTTTGTATTCTTCAGGTCAATCTATCAGCCTGGGAAGAACCATCCCAAGAGTGAAAGATGGAAGACGAACCTGACGGTAAATCAAGTGTCGCCATCCATGGGACTTCGCAACAAACAGCCGACGCAAGCACACCAGCAATTGGAGCGAGTCCTGTCGCGAGAATGTAAAACCTAGAAGGCCTAGAAGCAACCCCACAGGTTGCTACTATGGTGAGACATCAGAACATAGTCGCCGAAAAGTTTGACAATGACGAGGGAGCCATTTTGCAAGGCAAAACGACAGAAGAAATGGAGTTGGAAGAATTTGAAGCATTCAAAAGCTTTAGGGTTATGAGGAAATTACAAAGTGAAAGACAACTCCAGAAAGAGAACGAATGGGATCGAGTTTCATTCCACACAGCCCAAACAGAAGACTCTGACGAAGAAGAAAAGGAGTCAGGCCCTCGCGAAAAAAGATCAAGCAAGAAGGAGAGAAATGTAGGTTGACTACCCAATACAGAAGACGCTTATAAAAGGAAAGAAAGGCTACATGAAGTAACAGAAGCAAAACAATACAACCGAGCTTTCAAGAGCCTAAATTTCTGCTCTCCTTTTACGGACGACATTAACGGAACGCCTATTCCCAAAGGGTTGAATGGTCGAGGGTACCACCTTACGATGGCACCGAAGATCGAGATGATCATTTATTCAATTTCCAATGGGCGATAAAATGATACCAATGGATCCAAAATTATGGAGCCTGTACTTCGCGGGAACCCTAGACAGATCTGCTCGATATGGGCTTGCTAGCTTACAACCTCGAAGTATATGGAGATTCGAAGGGCTATGTCAAAAATTTTGTAACAGTTTCATACAACAACGAAGGTTCCAACAACAAGCGAACATGATATTTGCCTGTCGACAGCATGATGGAGAATCGAATAAGGCATACTTTAAGAGGTTTAATGAGATCAGTAGAAAGATGCCAACCAGGGATGACCATGTGATCATAGCGGCGTTCAATTACGGGCTCCTAAAAAGGGAGCTATTTCGAAAGCTGGTAGGGCGAGAATGGGCTAATGCAGAAGAAATGATACGGAAAGTTAATCGGTTCCTGAGGCAAGAGGCTGAAAGCGCGGAAAAGGAAAAGATGGAAGGAAAGATCATGGCGGGAAGAGGGAAAAAGGAAGAACGAATTAAAACATACCCGTCTCAACCTAAGGGGCTGCCCCGCCACCACCATAGTAGAAGGCCACACCAAAGCGAGAGGGGAAGGCGAAATGGCCGCTACTAGCCATATCGACAGGAAGCTTATGAAGCTTATACTCCACGAAGCCCGAATAGGTAGAACATAGATAAAAACAAAAAATACCCTTGAGACCCGAACAAATACTGCGACTTTCACAAAAAGTTGGGGCACGTGATTGAGGATTGTGAAAGTTTAAAAAGAGAAAAAGAGAAAAGGCGGTCGTTAAGAGTCTACGAACGAACGACAAAGAGAGACGATACACCAAAGTATGACGCTGAAATTGCCGTGGTGCAAAGTGAAGAAGATACTAGCGACAAGTTAACACGGAAGCGGAAAGTAACTAGCATTGAGTTCAGTCTTCATGATCCAATACCTTTTGATCATAAAGGGATGTAGCATGTGATAATAAAAGCGGCGATAGGAAGAACGTTGATTAGAAGAGTTTACGTTGATAACAAAAGTGTTGTCAGTGTAATGTACGAACATTGCTTGAAAGGACTGTCCCCGGACATCCAAAGATACCTCAAGCCTGCCACGACTATAGTGGTAGGATTCGCAGGCCAGTCCGTATGGCCAAGAGGGAAGATCTTGCTACCTTTTACATTGGAGGACTATCTAGGTAACATTCGGAAAACCATATATAACGGAATTTGTAGTGGTACAAGCACCCTCTTCCTATAACATACTTTTAGGAAGAACCGGCTTGTGGAAGCTGCAAGCCGTCTCATCCACAATGCATGGTTTACTCAAATTTTCTACTGAATAAGGGGTGACGATAGTTCAAAACACCACCCCAGGACCTCCTGAGCATAGCCATGCTGTACAACCGGAGCAAGTTGAGCCCATGGAAGAAGAAGGAGTTTCTTTAGTAGATACTAAGGAAGTAGTTGTCAATAAAAACCACAAGGATCGGATAATTAAAATAGGGGTCAAGCTCCCTAGAGTGTTACGAGAGGGATTGATGACGATACTAAGAAAATACCAAGATACGTTCGCATGGACACCCGCGGATATGAGAGGTATCCCAAGGTCAATAATATAGCATCACTTGAATATCAATTCCTCGTATATACCAGTTGAGCAAAAGAAGCGTATCATGGCTAAAGAAAGAAACGAAATCGTCAACAAGGAAGTCGAAGCTTTAGTAAGAGCCGGAGTCATGAGAGCCACACAATTCTTAAAATGGATAGCCAATATGGTGTTTGTAAAAAAATGGATGGAACAAGGAGAATGTGCATTGATTTCACCGACCTCAATAAAGCTTGCCCAAAAGACAGTTATCCCCTTCTATAAATAGAGCAGAAGATCGAGTCGTTAGGAGGAGTTCGATGGAAATCTTTCTTGGACGCATACAAAGGGTATCATCAAGGGAAGATGGTCACAGTTGATGAAGACAAGACAACTTTTCATATTGAGAAAGGGACTTTTTGCTACACAAATATACCTTTCGGATTACGGAATGCAGGGGCGACTTACCAGAGGTTGGTAGACATAGTATTCACGAAACAAGTGGGCAGAAACGTTAAGGTATATGTAGATGATATGGTAATGAAGAGTAAGGGTGATGATGATTTCCTGGAAGATGTGGAAGAGACTCGCAAGAGGCTACATCAGAACAACATGAAGCTCAATCCAAAGAATGCATTTTTGGGGTGCAGAAAGGGATGTTCTTGGGCCATATTGTAATAGAAACAGGGATAGAGGCGAACCCTGAAAAGGTGGAAAGTTTGTTGAAAATGACAACACCACAAACAGTGAAGGAGGTACAGAGTCTTAATGGCAAGTTGGCAGCATTGGGGCTATTCCTAGCTTAGTCAGAAGACCAGACCATACCTTTCTTCCAAACATTGAAAACATTCATAGGGAGGAAGGATATACTATGGTCGGATGAGGCGGAAGAAGCACTCCAGAAATTGAAGAAATGCCTCAAAAAAATGCCGACCCTAGCAAGTCCCTTAAAGGAGGAAGTGTTAACGGTGTACCTATCGACAAGTCATGAGGCAATCAGTGTAGCGTTGGTCGCGAAAAGATGAACGAAGTAAGTACTAGTATACTTCATTAGTAGAGTATTGCAAGGGGCGGAACGAAATTACTCTAAAGTGGAAAAGTAGGTCTTATCCTTGGTATACGCAGCCAGGTGATTACGTAGATACTTCCAGGCATATCCCATGGAAGTGTTAACTGACCAATCAATGAAGCAAATTCTACTACAACCAGAACGTTTGGGAAGAATGACAGAGTGGGCGATAGAATTAAGGGAACATGACATCACATATAAACCTTGAATCAGCATAAAAGGGCAAGCTCTAGCTGATTTCTTCATAGAAATGACAGACGACCCGCTTTCCTCAATGATGACTACTCCTAAAGATGTTACTGAACTTCCAAAAGCACTGACCCAAGCAAACAAAGAAACGTGGATGCTCCACACTGATGGGGCATCAAGCAAAGACTGTTCAGGAGCAGGAATTGTTCTCACCAGCCCATATAGGGACAAGTCAACCTATTCCCTACGATTCAAGTTCAAGTGTTCGAAAAATGAGGCAGAATATGAAGCCCTGCTAGCAGGGTTATGGTTGGCAGGAAGTATGAACATCTCGCATCTTGAAGTGTTGAGTGACTCGATGTTGGTGATCAACCAAATTAAAGGAACTTACGAAGCAAAAGAAATGCACATCCAGAAGTACCTAGCTCAAACACAGACATGGATTGCAAAGTTTGAAACGTTCGAAATCACACATATTCCACGATCAAAGAACAAAGAAGCAGACGCTTTAAGTAAACTTTACTCAATAGCCTTCAGTCACTTGTCAAAGACCGTCCTAGTGGAGGTGTTTCCAAAAAGAGCATTGATAAGCCGCAGAGTGAAGCAATGGGGTTAGAAGAGGAAGCTTCATGGATGACACCCTACGTCCCGTTTCTGTAAAAAGGAATAGTGCCAGAGGATGTGAAAGAAGCAAGGAAGATACGAATTAATGCACCAAATTATACCATGTATGGCGGTCGACTGTACCGGAGAGGTTATTCTACCCATGGCTGAAATGTATCACGAGTAGAGAAACGGACGTAGTAATGCAAGAAGTATACTCGGGAATCTACGGAGCACATGGAGGATACATGCCCATGGCTGCCAGATACATGCGAAGTGGGAAATTGATATTGTGGGTCCTTTCCCTGACACATGCGAATGTGCCAGCCTACCACCGTAAGACATGATCAGCATCACAAGCCCATGGCTGTTCCTCCAGTGGGGAATTGATATTGTGGGTCCTTTCCCTGAAGCACCAGGAAAACTTAGATTTCTTATCGTGGCAATAGATTAATTCACCAAATGGGTTGAACCTACGTGGCTCATCCACAGGCCAACGGTCAGGTAGAAGTGACGAATCGAACCTTAGTTAAAGGGATTAAGAAAAGGCTAGGAAAAGCCAAAGGAAATTGGACTGATGAATTGCAGCATGTGTTATGGCCATAGTAAATCACGGTGCAGACACCATCCAAAGAAACTCCCTTGTGCCTGGTTTTTATCTGTTCAAAAAGTTTTTGAATCAAATTTTTGGTTCAAAAGTTTCCGCACTTTTTGATAGTGAAAAATTTGTCTAGATTTTAGATTGTGATTTGATTCTACATTTGAATTGTTGAATCGAGTGTTCTTCTTGTAAGTCTGATTTGATTCAACCAGTTTGTTTTAAAATTTCCAAATCTTCTTAAAATTTTCAAAATCATCTTCCGTACAACAATGGCGAGCTTCAATCTCAATTCGATGACCTCGTTTTCTCATTTGTTAGGATCATCAACCAAAATTCCAATGCTAATCCCTGAATATTATGATCAGTGGGCTGATCGTATGCAGGATTATCTGAATGGTCTTGATGAAGAATTATGGTCATGTATCACTGGAAATGTTAATGTTCCAGTGAATGTTCAAGCAATTGGATCATCTTCTACAAGTTCTGGTGTTGATAATCAAACCGATCGTCTGAAGAAACTGGAGAAGAGGTGTATTAGGGAATTGCGAGGAGCTTTACCTCCAGTTGTGTACAATTATGTAAGGAGTTGTACAACTGCAAAAGAGATCTGGAACAATCTGAAAGATAAGTTTCAAGGAAGTGAGAAGACGAAAATCAATTCAGTCAAATAGTGTTTGGTCGAGCTGAAAGATTTCAGACAAAAAGAAGGTGAAACAATCGAAGTCTACTATGATCGACTGAACGAGTTAATCTATCGTTGTAATCGCTATGGAATCACCAGGACTTCA